GCACAGCAGTCCTCAAAAGTTTCGACAAATCAGTCAGTTTTCTTGCAAATAAAAAACGCTACATTAACGCTAATTTTGTTGTTATTATAGGTTAGAAAGACCTTCACGATCTAGTGATACAGTGATACAAAAGAGAGCCTATATTTCAAGCAAGAATGAATAGTATTCACACGAACGCATCATAGTAGAATACACAGTGAATACTGCCATGAATATCATTCAGAACCCATCGTGTCTGAAGAATGAGGGTGCCTGGACAAACCGAAGTGGTTATAGCGCAACCAAAGCACAAAGCTTGTTTTTACTCCGAGGGAAAACTCTTTTACGGAATTTACTCTTCATTCTATTGTTGCATGTGTGGGCGCTCCCAGTCGCACACACATATGTGTCTGTACTAAAAATCTAAAATTCTCTTCTCTGAAATTGCATGCGTATAAGTGTATACACTTTTGGAAATTATGGAAATTTCACTTTTTTGCAACCAAAAAATGCCGTCGAAGCTACAGCTTGGTCGCCAAATAGAATTTCGCAAAGCGCATAAAAATTTAATGGAATTGATTTGTTGTATTGAAAATCGCATGCGCATCATGCGATTCAGAAGATTTTGGTGTAGATCTTTTTTAATAATATACTAAATTCCAAGGCTTTCTTTTTAGCAAGACGTTAGTCAAAATTTTTCAATGAAAATTATAAGAACAAATAGACGGCGACAAAATATCTTTATTATTGAACGAGATTTTTGAAAAACCAGAGACACTTAAATATTCCGTCCCTATTGCTTGAATCCAAATAAATATCGCAGATTTATCGAAATTTAAATGTCTTTTCATAAAATTGCATTAAAATTATATTTTTGTAACACTGGCAGTTTTTCTCCCGTACATATATCAAAGTTAATGACATTTTCTAAGGTGTGTCGTTTGTAACTGCCGCCTTTTCCATATTCTGCCAACGCTACGACTAGTCATTTTGAAATATTCAGAATTCCTCAAATATGCACTCCTGAAGATATATACCATCCATCCTTATATATCTCCATGACTCACAGTTATGTAATTGAAGAAAGTTAGTTCGATTAATTTAAAACTATCCTTGATTATAAAAAAAACTGATTTTCGAAAACACAATACCCTCATTTCCTCCATACATTGGGCCTATGATATTTTAAATAGATTAAAATGCGTTTCAACTGTTAGAGCTAAAAATTTCAATAAATATCCATGGATAACACCTGAGTTAACAAGTTTAAAAAATTCTAATAATAAGCTTTTTCATAAATATAAAATTTTAGGATTATCAATAGACTATACTAATTACTCCGTTGCTAGGTCTAAATACACTTTAGAGTATCGTAGATTGTATCATGGTACAATGATATCAAGGTAGGGCTATGATACCATATGATTTCAATTTTTTCATTTTCTTGGCTTAATATGTCATCTTTATTTGTTTATGTATGCGTTTTCTTTCCAATAACAAAGAATTGTTCAGAAAACATTCAAATTCGGATGTTTTCAAAATGTTTATTTCATCGTATGCATCGACAAAATCTAGAGTTTTTGTAGCGAAATAATCCTTTATAGATATATAGAACCTGGTTTTAAAAAGAAGTGTTGACCTTTCATTCAGTTTTCGCGGTTTTCAATTATTTATTCAAAATAAATGCAACAAGTTGTACGATTTTTTTTATTGTTTTGATACTAATTCTGACATTACAAGCCAAACAGGTAGACCTCTATACTTGCAATTTTTTCAAACTTGGCCTACCTTCTCTTCATTGTACCATGGATTGTATAATCGTTACCTCGACAAAATTAAAAATAATTTGAAATCCAATCCTATTTTTTATGATTTCGTTAACCTAAAACGAAAAGTTTTCTCAAAGCTCTCAGTATTGAAATGTAACAATAAGGAATTTGTCACAGGCACAGATATTGCTGAATGTTTCGCAGATTTTTTTTGCTAAAACTTATTCCAGAACATCCTGCCAAATCAAAGATTCATATCCTTATAAGTTGCCACAGACTGATCAAATTTGTATGTCCTTCTCCTTTAGCCCGGATGACAAACATATTAACACTCCCTTTTACTATTTTGTTTAAATATTCACTTAAATTTGGTCACTTTCCTTTACATAAGTCTGGTAGTCTTACAAATGTGTCAAATTATAGAGGGTGCCATTCCAAAATTGTTCGAAAAATAAATTATTGCAGTAATTTCATTCAAAATTCAATCTATATTGAGTCCATATCAGCATGATTATCGTTGTGGTCTCTCAACCACAACAAATCTTATACAATTTACGTCAACAGTGATAAAATGATTTGTTCAGTGTAATCAAACTGACACAATCTACACTGATTAGTGTAGCTTTTGATGGGGTTATGAACTCATAATATAAAAATTAAATTAGATGGGTTTCTGCACAAACTTATCAAATGGATATCATCTTACTAACAAGATAGATCACAACTAGTTTCGTTTGAAGGGTATCTATCCAAATAGATTAACCTTCCATTGGGTGTTCCTCAAAGAAATCACCTTGGACCGGTTCTATTTCTTGTAATTATCAACGATTTACCTAATTCCATAAATTGCTCGATTCGATTATTCATTTCCCATAATTGTGATAAACAAGCTAATTTACTTCAAAATGATTTACATAGCAATTTTTCAATGGTGCAGGTTAAATTGTATGGATTTAAATTTAAGCAAATGTGCTTCTCCAGATCTTCTTCACTGATATTGCAATATAATATTGACGATCATTTATTATCAACTGTAGATTCATTTGTCGATGTTGGTCTCTTGATGGATTATAAAAAATTATATAATAACAATAGTAAATATAGCAAATGGTGTACTAGGTTTTGTTAAACGGAGAGCCAAAGAATTTTCTGATCCATATATAAGAAAACAGTTATTTACGACTCTTGTTAGACCTATATTAGAAAACGGTTCTGTTGTATGGGATCCTCAATATGCAATATACATAGATGAAATAGAATCCGTGCAAAAACAATTTCTGCTATTTGGCTTACGTTGATTACATTGGAATAGTAATTTTGTTTTGCGTATTATTACATACCGACCTTCACCGCCCGAATTATTCAATGGGCGAATATTTTAGTAAAACGTGTGTTGACTTAAATTCTGTGTATTCTAATGTAGATTTTGGTATGAGTTTAGAAGTTATTAAATCTAGAATAATTTTATTTTTAAACACGTGATACCCTACAACACTATAATGTATTGGAAAACCTCCTTAGGTCCAAACACATTTTAATCGTATATTTGAAATAGTGCCATACTGTCCAGCACAAATGTTACCTTTGTTTTTCAACCGGAGATATTTTCATCATATTTACATTCTATATCTTGCTGATAGGTATCTAGAACAATTTTACACAAAAGTTGTTGTCCATTTTACCCGTTAAATATAATTCAAGGGCCGTCCATTTGAAGACCTAAAGATACATCTTGAAAAACAATAGGCGTTAATTCTGACCCCAACTTTATTCCCATGCAAAATTTCTTGAGAATATGATACTCCCAAAAAATAGTGTTGTAAGGTAAAAAATTTTACCAAAATGAAAATTCAATATTATAACTTAAATATGAAAAATCTCATGCGATAAAAAATGACAAAAAATTAAAAAACATATATTCACTTTTTTATTTTCTGGCAAGAGGACATTTGGAATTTGTAAGGAGTGTCAAAATCCGTCCATTCGTTCTTGAGTTATAAGCGGTCTAACTAACACCCCCTTCATTGATATATGAGATTGTATATATTTTGCTATATATGCGATATCTTGGATATGAGCATCAATGTAACGGACGGAAGTGCCATTTTCGAGCATTTGTGATTTCGCCAGTACTAAAAATATACGCGGCTTAGTGGAAATTTTCGTATTTCACCCTTCGTAGGAAGGTAATATTGTGAATGCCGCAATTTCCTTAACCAATACAAAGATCACTTCCCAACTCTTCTGCTTATTGTGAAGCAGAAAGATTTTTCCTAGGCATCAACAAAGCTGCAGCCGCTCGCTTTATATCGCTGATCATAATGAATGAAAATATGGAATGAAATATATTTTCTTAATTTTTTCTTTGACATTTGTTTCCTTTATTAAAGTATATGAAATGAAAATATTTTCATTGAATATGAATTTTTTGTTGTTGCAAAATAGCGAAATTTAAGACCGCTGTTCTTTTTATAGAAATAAATGCATTTATTGCTTGTTGTTCTAGCTTTACTCTTTGTAACCACAAAAACATTTCTCAGATGATAGATCTGCAGGCATTAACAATTACAATAAGCTTCACAAATATTCAATCCCCGTTGTTCTATCAAAAACTCTTATCATTTGCCTAGGGTTACGACTTTCTCGAAGTCTGTATGATATACAATATGGAGAAGGAAGTCCAACCTTATAAAAGGCAGGTCTGAGTGATTATATTCCCCATCCAATTTTTTAACCTGGAGTTAGAACAGGAAAGTAGAAACATGTTACGACACCAACAATTACCCTTCTTTCGAGTTATGAGAAGTCTTGTCCAATAACCTACCCTGGGAGGAAATTCTAGCCGGTTTGGTGGACTAAGAATTTTACCATTCTTCGGAAAATAGTATAGAGGTCTTATAACAGGAAGAGAAAGTTATAGCAATTTAATGGGCGATCTACAATTTCAACGCTTCAAATCTCCTGGTCCAGATGGCGTTATACCAGCAATGTTATTAAATTAATCTGAGTAAGTGTTGGCTATCTTGCAGGAGATTTTTAAGCTTGTCGTCGTTTGTGCTTTGTGCCTTTATTCCCAAAGCAGAGAAACCTAATCGCACATTACCTAAATACTATAGACCGATTAGCCTATCTTCCTTCTAATAATTACCTTTGTTACGGGATCTGGAAACTCGTTAAAATTTAAATGGTAATATAATAAGTACATAGCGCCAAGTATCTATATATATGTTTATATGTTTTAAGTATATTCACCTTATATTTCCAAGCGTGGAGATACATTATCAGATCTTTTGGCTTAGGATCTCTGTAGCGCACTTTACATTCGTAACAATGCTTGTCCAAGGTAACTTTTTCGGCGTTAAAGGTCGTATCGGGCGATTCGTGATCAGTTTGAGTTGCAACAGTAACCTAAAAGGAACGTGGAATACATGCGAAAACAATTTCAATTAATATGTTGTTGTAAAAATCCTCCAGATGTCAAAGAATGGAGTGAAAGAGCGTGTCAAAACCATACCTTCACATGGTTCATTGATAAATGCACTTCATTTTCGGGTTGATCGGAAGATTGTTGCATATCTCCTAATTTATTTGTTAAATTGTCGACTGCATTACAACAGTTTGTGGCATTTTCGGGATTCATGTCCACGATGCTCGGACTATTCGAGTATATTGGGGAAGTTTCACGTGACATGACATCGTTATCCTCCTCACATAATGGATGATTACCTAAAAAAATATTAGGCTGCTTATCCAAATTATGAACGATCGTCTACTTATCCATACCAACAGGCAACGAGTCTACCTCACAGTCACCTTTATGTGGCTTAAAGAATGACAGTTCCGAATCACCATCGATTCCCAACCAATTTTCAGCATTATGAATATTTATTAAATCACGTACTAATTCTTCATCGGTTTTGCCACCGATATCACCACCACGACCCTTAAGTGGGCCAAATACTTCATGGTTGTATAAGGGATCATTCGCAACTGGATAACCTTAAAGGGAAGAGAAAATAATAAATAAATATATTTATTGAGTCCAATGTTCAAATGCTAAATTTGCAAACAACATTTTATATAGAAATTGCCTAGACTTCTGCATCTTTTGCTTACCTAGATACTGTAAATGGACACGAATTTGATGCATACGACCAGTTAATGGTTTACATAACACTACACTGGATTTGCCATCGTATGATAATTTTTGAAATGTTGTTTTACATTCCTTTCCTTTTGGTGACACCTTGCAGACGCCAATTTTATAACTAACCACTTCAATGGGCTCGTTGCATTCGATTATACCTCTAAGAAAAAATAAAAATAACCAATGAACCTCATACAGAGAAATACATTTTTTATTAAGGCTGTAAAAAATATGTTCAAAGAGAACAAAGCTTTAAGCTTTACTAAAATTATCTCAGGAACGGCTTTCAAAATGAAATGCTCGCAGAAAGTACAACGACATACATCACCGAAATGTTTAAACTTACTCTGGAAAGTTTCCTTCTACTCTGCATATATATTCCTTTTGTACTTGTCTGTTGCGAATTTGGTGTTCTAATAGTCGTGCCTTTTTTGGACTCCTGCCAAATAATAAAAGTCCCGAAGTTAAACGATCTAGGCGGTGTATAGTTCGTAGGTTTTTAAGATTAAATTCCTTGGCCAAAATGAAAACAACTGTGTTATGACGGTACCTTCCGCAAGGATGCACCTATATAAAAATAAATATATTATCCAATCCATTCTTATAAAAGTTTATGTTCTGAAAGGGCGAATTCACTTACTGGTATTGATGCGGGCTTATTCACAACAACAATATCATCGTCCATGTGAACAATTGTAATGGGTTCGCTTGTTACGGGCACTTCATGTCTGCAAACAATAAAGTTATCATATATTTACATTAGATAGATAATCCAAAGGTCAACGATAATCATATCAATTACAATTAAAAATTGCACACAGGTTTCTGATTTTGTATCCGCAATAAAAAGTTATAAAAATATATAATATTTCAAATGCTGTCGTACAAAAATATGTGTCTTGTAATTTATTTTAAATTTACCCAAAATAGAAATGTATTTCTCCGCACAATAACTGGCAGAACTTTTCAAATTTATAGAGAAAGACATGCAAAAATATCTATAATAGTACATTTTTTAATTGACAGAGTTTTATATGATTGAAAGTAGAACAAAACAAGTAGAAAAACTCATAAATTATTATATTCAGAAATGATTTTTAATTTTTTTATCAACACTTTAAAGTAAAAAAATTAACTTTTTTAAAATGTATGCATACTACCCAGTTCGATACTAAAGTATATCTGCTTTATTATATAATACACATCCAATACACAAGTGTGCGTTTATTGTTTGAAAAATAAAACTAAACTATTTTACTATAATTGGAAGAAACGTACATTGCAGGGCGTATATTAAAGCTATTGCCCAGATTTGCCATTGAATTCAAAGAATAAAAAGTTTAGATCATATTTTTGAAAGAAAATCCAGGAATTTCATTCATTTTTCGCGCTATTTAACTAATTTTTAAAATGAGATAAAAAATTAAAGAAATAAAAACAATTTGGCTTTGTTCCAAAACCTGCAAGAATCTACTAGTTTTGCATTTTTTCCGATATCATAAAGGGAAAATCGCTTATCGTAGTAAAAGCATTTACATTCTTGCAGATCTGGAACAGACCATTTGTTGTATATTTCATTGAATACTTCTGATAGGAAGCAGTCCTAGCCACAGAGTTCTATTTCTGTAGTTCTACGAAGCTTTTCTTCCTCCTTAATGTACCATGACAACAACAAATATATATTAAATAAGAGTACCTATGAACAATATTCGCCAATAAATCATTATGTTTAAGCTTGTAATCAATTGGCACTTTCTCATAGTTTACAGTTAAAGTGCCAGATTTAATGCAGCGCTCGTACTCTTCTGCAGGATGGGCTCTAAACTCTCGCGAAAATACATCTAGAATTTTCTCTCCGACCCAGCGGCCCTTTGTAAATGTTGTAAAGGTAAAATAATAGGGATAAACTTTCCGTAAACCTGAAGGATATACAAAAAAATTATGTCAGAAATCAGTGATTTACAAAAGCCAAATATAAACATTACCGTTTTCAATATAATAAGAAGTTTCATGATATCTTTCATCGGTAAAACCTGGCCTTTTTGCCTTCAGAGCCTTTGTTTCAAGTTTGGCCTAAAAATAAAAACGATCGTTATAAGTTTATGTGTTTTATTCAAATAAAGAAATAGGAAGACTTGATAATATTAGTAAAATTGTAACAGACATGAATATGTTCATGATAGGATTGATCCATATATTCCTACTTCTGGTTACCCTAAAATTTGTAACAATTGTTGCAAATTGTGTTACTACTGTTAACACGAAAGATCTGCAAAAGGGGGCGATTTGATAGAAAATTTTTGAAAGTTCTTTTAGCGAGAGATCGCAAATCTTGCTGCACAAATTTCTTCCTGCACTCAATTGCAACTCTTCCTCCTCTCCTTTTCCGGTGATTTATTTTGGACAAGCAGTATAAAATCTTGATTAATTAGTAACCTTTGTTTATGATGCACAAATGGTTTTGTTTTGACAAACCAGCTGATTGCTAGTTTTTGCAGGGATTCCATTTGCTTTACTCTCTTAGAGAGAAGTAGATGGACAATTCCTGCAGGACACACCTAATTAGTATTACATTCGCCGTGCAAATCAGCTAGTTATGAAATTCTGTAAATATTTCCTCAAATTCGGATTAACTGGTTCAACAATTCTGGTACTAATGAATTTTTATAGCTCAAATTGACTGCTGAGTAACAAGGTCCAATGTCCTCATATGACCCTAATGGATTACTGACACATCAGTTCCAATGTCTGGTAATGCCTACGTAAGAACTACTGCCAATGTCACTAGTGACTTCCGAATGACAAGCTCATACAAAATATCTACAGGAAGAACATTGTGTGCAAAGTTGAAGGAATTAAACAAAAAATTTACAGGGTGAGATGAAAAAACTGCAACCAACTTCAGACTGCTGTCATTTCTAAGCCACTCTTACAACAGCTGTTAAAATTATTCCAGTGACACCGCTGCAGAAAAGATCTAAAGAGTTACTTCGCTTGGCCGAAAGTGGTGAACTGCCGAATTTGGTTTTCTCCGATGAAATAACATTCCTTGTCCAGCAGTTTGTAAACAAACAAAATGATCGTGTTACTTGCCAAAGAGGTCAGCTGAAAATGTGCAACTTCGTTTGGCCACCAGAAATCAAGCGCCGGCCATAGTGATGGTGTGGGCCGCCATAACAGCCGATGGTCGCTCTTCGCTCTTATAAATCGACCGTGGCATCAAAATAAATGCCTAATATTATAATATCGCGAAAATATTCTGGAGGGTGTATTAAAGCCTTGGGCACGCAAACATTTTACCCGCAGACCTTGGATATTCCAACAGGACTCAGCACGCGCCTCTTACGAATGGTTACAAAATGAGGTTCCTCGCTTCATTTCCAGCGCACAATGGCCACCAAAATCTCCGTATACCAATCCGTTGGACTATTGTGTCTGGAGTATTTTGGAAAGCAAGGTTGGCACTAAAAAATACCAAAGTGACGACCAACTCAAGCAAGCGCTTCGCCGGGAATGGGCCAAAATACCCCAAAGCAACATTCGGGAAGCGTGTGACGGTTTCATTGTGAAGGCCATTATTCGTGCCAAAGGTGACCAATTCGAACAAATCTAAACTTATTCTAAAATTTGATGCTATTTCCGACATTTTTGCTTTCATTCAATAAAATTTAAATAAAAATGTAAAAATTGTGGCGTTTGACTTTGTTGCAGTCTTTTCATCCTATATATGCGAGTGTAATACAGATTCACCGTAGGTCGAAATTCCTAATTATGGCGCGACGAATTTGTGCTTACAATGTCGAAGTGCATCATGAAATCGACTCATTTATCTGTTGCGGCTTGTGTTGCTTATTTTTGTGGTCATATTTCTCGATTTAAATCGGACAAGATTTTTTGGTAGATTATTTCATGCTTCCTAATACCAGAAGATGCCTTTCTCCGCAATTAAAATGATCTACAAAAAGGTTCTTAGAAAATTGTAGGTACGATTCTCAAGGACCAGAAAACATATAATAATTCACGAAAACTGATTACAGATGTTAAAAATATATCCGAAAGCAAATAGTACATTTATTTACAGCATTACCTAAAATCCGACGTACTCAGGATACGTTTTTTGCCAAACAATTAAAACACATGTATTTATATAAATGTTAAACAAATACGTCGGACGTACGAAACTTCAAAGTTGAACAATTTCAACATTGACAATTGAACAATTTCTTTTTTGTATGTTGAAAATAGAAACGAATAATACACAAAATGTAAATGTTTGTAATTGGAAAATATAACGAATTGGAAATGGGAGAATTTTGAAAATTATCAGTTCTACAACTTTATTAATTGGTAAGTTTAAAGATATGAACCTGGCGTAAAATAAAAATTTTTACGCGTGTTTGATTTTGGGAACATTACTTTTGCTAATTATTGTTCTTATTAGGTACTTTTATTGAGCCAATATAATCATGGACGCCACTGGATTATTTTTTAACCCAGGTCATAAAAGATAATAAAATATTTAAATTTTTTCCTAATTACATACAGGACGTGTAAAACATTTTACTATAGTGGGGAAGTTGAACATTTGTGTATGTTACGTCGAATTTTGGGTAAGGCCCTGAATATTACCCAAATACGTCGGGGATTACGAAATATTTAAGGTAACGCTGCCGTCATTCATATAGCATAATTCGCATAATAAATATACACAAACAAAAATGTCCGTTTGTATACACTATAAGGCTACCAGAAATGAAATATTGACAATTGCCATAAACAATATTTTGTAGATCATTTTAAATGAAGAATGTCATCTTCCTGTACGCACGCACGCCCTTGCAAAGCCGCATTAACAATGGCGAAACGCGTCGCACAGTGTCGAGTTTGTAATTTCGTCTCTCTAGCTTCCTTTTCACCGCAAAGAAACGCGTTGGCAAAAAAATTGCGAATATCTAAAATGACCATCGGTGCTACGTTAGTAAAACCACCGAAATCGAAATAGGAGGTATGTCTAAAAAGCCTTGGATAACACGAGAAACACCTAATAAAGGCAAACGGATTCAAAGGGGACGACTTCCACCCCAATCAAGATAGTGAAAAAAAAGTAGCAGAATGACTAGACACAACTCACAGATACATATATACCATTGGCCATATAGCTATACGATTTGAAACGACCAAAATGGGTCTCATCGAGATAAGGGTTTAGACCTGAAACCAGTTTTAGGACATTTGTTTAAACGGTCCACTCCTTGCAACCACCACACTAAAGATCAACATTTTCTAAAAAAATTATTGTATTGAAATTGTTGTCATGGATATTTATTCTATGAATAAATTATGAATAACTATCTGGGCCGGTTCGCGTTGCTGGCCCGTACTTTTAGTCTTTAATACATATTTTTAAAGCATAATAAATCACAGATCTGACGTATGTAAGCGGCACAATTGTTATTATAAGTAATGACTCCATAGTAATCTCTAAATAGAAATAAATACTCATGGCAAAAAATATAATAGATGCTCAACTACCGTCAGTTTTAGATATTTTGAATAGCCTGATCTTATTTTTCAGCATTATGCTTTAATCTGAGTGTTAAAACCTATATGACAAAGAACATCTATAATAGCCCCATGTGAAAACTCAGCTCAATTTTTGGGATTGTAAAGAGCTTAGCAACATTTTCCATTCAAATGAGCCGAATTTGCCACAATTTCCCACTCAATGAGTACCCATTTGGCATTTCGGAGTTTTTTTATATAGACGTACATCCCAATCTACGTTCCCAACCAATAGTTTCTTGGGGTTTACAAATTCAGTAGAGTACAAATTTTTTTTCTGACACACACATTAGTTGGAAATGTGGACTTGCGGGTAAATAATGTGGGGAAAAACCTAAATAAATGCCTTTGTGACAATTATCCGTAAGATGGTTTCCTACTCCAGGGTAACCTGAATTCAATTTTTTAGCCAAACCATTGAAAATGTGGTCAAGACCAAGATGGGTTCTATTCCGAAAATTGAAAATTATATGCGAAGAGGTTTCATATACCCCGATAGACACCAGATGCCAAATAATTGCGAAAAAAAAATTAAAAAAAAATGGTCCACGACCCCGAAAATAGCTTAAATCTATTATTGTTATACCAAAACGTAATCATTTTTTGCAACGATGGTTTATTC